GAGAGAGAGGCTTTTTGGTTTGTCATCGATTTGTAATGCTATCTTCAATTCTATGGCTTTCTGTATTAGACCAGATTGCGTTTTCAGATGTCTTGGTCTATTCTCATAGGGGCTAAAGAACTTATTCATGGGAATGCGCAGTAGCTTCTCATACAGGATCAAGGCCTTTTCTTTGATAAGGGAACATATTGTGGTGCTCCCTGTAACCAGGAGCATTGCATCAATGGGTGTTGATTTCATCCCTCCAGTAATTAGTTGTAATGCTTGGTTTTGTGCCTTCTCGAGTGGTTTGAGAGTCACCTCTGTGGCTGCAATGAGTGGCTCACAGCAATACAACATTATTGGCTGAATAAACATCTTGTAAGTGGTGTTGAGAGTTGAGCGCGCACAGCCCCATACGCAACCAGCAAGACGCTTCAGTTCATTCAGTCTATTGGAGACTCGTTCTTCTATTTTAGCAATGTGTCTTTTCCACGTTAGCTTTGTGTCAAACATCGTTCCAAGAAAAGTGAACTCATTGATTTTTTCTAGGTTAGTATCCTTGTACCTCAGAAGCGGTTTATGCTGTGATGGGCATTTTTCGAAGCGGCGGAATACCATAGAACAAGATCATATGCATAAAGTAAGCACCTGATGCCCGTGACTGTCTGCACCAATTCGGCTGATTTGAAATCGACGAAAACAGCCGTAAGGGTATTTCTTTCATCCAAAGAATATTGTTGGTCTCAAGGAACCAGGTCAGCCTCCTGTTAACCGCTCTTTCCATTAGTTTAGCCATCACGCTTGTGAGGGAGATAGGCCTATAATTGTCAAAGTTGCTGGGGTCTTTGCCTTTTTTAGTACTGGTATTACTATGGTAACTTTCCATTGGTTAGGTACGAGACTGGTCTTCCAGATTTTGTTGAAAAGCGTTAGCATGGTTTTCTTGGCTTTCGGTCCCAGTCTAATTAGAAATTCTGGATGTATACTGTCTTCGCCAGGAGACATTTTGCACTTGAGCTGTTTTATCGCAGCATTAAGTTCGCAAAGTTTAAATGATTCAGTAAGTACATTATTTAGTGTCGCTATGTCTTCCATATTTTCACCAATCTGTCTTACTTGTATCTTTAAATCTCCTGAAGACTTTCTGACAAAAGGGTATTTCTTTTGCTTGTGGGAATAGAACCTCGTAGGGTATTTCTTTTGCTTGTGGGAATAGAACTTCGCAAAGCAGTTAATTTTGCTTGTGGGAATAGAACCTCGCAAAGCAGTTAGCTACTGCTTGTGGGAATAGAACCTCGCAAAGTAGTTAGCTATTTTCCTCGCAAAGAGTTAGCTATTTCGGTGTCGGTGGTAAGCAATTTGCTGTTTAAATTCGGAGTCGGTGGTAAGCAGTTTGTTTTTTAAACGTATTTGTTATGGGAATAGAACCTCGCAAAGCAGTTAGCTATTTCGTTAGGTAAGCAATTTGCTGTTTAAGCGTATTGGTTCTTTTTTGTGTTGGTTCTGGGTCTTTCTCTGTTGTTTTGGAGGTTACCCAGGAATTTAAGTCTTTCTCTATTGTTTCGGAGGTTTCTCAGAAATTTGAATGTGCGTTGGCTATCACTTTGATAGTTGATATTTGGGAAGAACTTGTCGATTGAAGTCCGTTTTTTGCTTGTAAGATGGCTCGCCTTAGGACAGATGATTGTCGTCTCCAGGNGGCCGAATAATGAATAACAGATGTGAAAGAGACAGACATACAAAGTCAGAGAAAAAGTAAGATGAGTACTGTGAAAGGGGTCGAATATGACAGAAAGTCAGGTCATAGTATTAGATTGGCAACTAAGTCATTGCCGATTTCAAATAAGAAGGCAAATTCGGAATTTTCGTTTAAAAATATAACTTTATTCAATTAGATATTGGCCGCTCTTGTCGATGACCTTTTTCCATCCTTCTGGCAGAGTATAAATTCCCCGTTCGTAAAATGTCTGGTCTTTGCTATTAAAAAACTCAATTAGGTGTGATCCGACATCATCCGCGTTGTTAAAAATTTTACCATTTAAAGAGTTTTGCATGGAACGAAACAAATGATAATCCGAAGGCGCAAGGTCAGGGCTATATGGTGGGTGTGACAAAACATCCCAACCCAGTTCCATTAATTTTTGCCGAGTAACCAAAGATGTGTGGGGCCTTGCGTTATCATGATGGAAAACAACACCCTTCCGCCGATTTGATAATGCCGGCCGCTTATCTTCAATTGCATCCTTCAGTTTTTCGAGTTCTTCAACATACACATTTGAATTTATCGTTTGGTTCTGCGGCATGAGTTCAAAATACAAAATTCCTTTGTGATCCCCCCACCAGACTGACAGCATAATCTTTTTTAGGTGAATCTCTGCTTTTGATACTGTTTGGGCTGGTTGATCTTGCTTCACCCATGATCCCTTGCGAGTAACATTGTTATAAACTATCCACTTTTCGTCGCCAGTAACTAGGTTCTTCATCGGAAATGGATCATTCTCATTGCGTTTCAGTAGCGAATCAAAGATGCTAATCCGTTGCGTCAAATGAATTTCCTTTAACTGGTGATGGATCCATCAATCAAGTTTCTTGACATAACCAAGGGTTTTTAATTTTTTCAATGCATGTATGCAACACATTGAGCTTCTCTGCAATATCTCGTGTTGTGCTGTGACGATTTGAATCGATAATGGCCTTGATATGGGTTTCATCCACTTCGACTGGGCGGCCAGATCGTTGTGAATTTTTCAGTGAAAAATCACCGGAACGAAATCTTTCAAACCAATTTCGACACTGCCTTTCTTTTAAGGCTTCATCTTCATATACGGCAAATAACTTCTTTTGTGCTTGCGATGCGTTCTTGCCTTTTCGGAAGTAATACAATAAAATGTGTCGGAAGTGCACGTCCTGTTCTTTCATTTTTAAATTGGGATAAAAACAAAACTAAAGACTAAACAAAAAAATTGTTTACTAATTAACCTAGAAGCCCATACAGTAAGAAAAAAATATAGGTTAGATGCTCTGACCACGTTAACAAAACAAAAGAAAGTATAGAGTGAATCTGTCAACATAAACGGCAATGACTTATTTGCCAACCCAATAGCTTGAAGTCAGAAGTCAATTGCCGATAAATAGACTTTTTTACCGTATAAGTATACGTTATCCAGGGTGCACCACGAAGTGTAAAATATATAATATGCTTACCGAATAACCCCAACCTATTGTCAGCCATCACGTTCCCTCGAAAGTTAGCGAATGTCAAAAATACTGAAATGACTGTATTTAATATATCAGAAATAAATTTATGCCTATAAGGAAAATGTTGGAACACGGTCCTTCGAAATAACTTCAATTCCCAAAGAAGTATATTTTAAGGATCAAATTCAGGTACTGTTTTCGTCGTATGAAGTTTCACTTTCTGGGGTGTTCAATAGACTTACCTCCACGTTGTGCGCCCTGGGCAACGTATACTTATACGGCAAAAAGTCTATTGTTCGGCAGTTGACTTCTGACTTCACATTTCTATGGCCCGACTGTTTTTCATATTCGACCCCTTCACAGTACTCATCTTACCTTTTTTTATGCCTTTGTGTCTGTCTGTCCCTTTTACATCTGTGAATCATTATTCTGTCTCCCATCCCGACTTTTTGTCACATTGATGTCCCTTTTCCTCTTCATGAAGCCCCGAAGTCAGCTCCAGGGCTAATGATAACTATCTTCAAAACTCCTGCCATTTGATATAAATAAATAAATAATTGGGAACAGCCTGCCATTTGATACAAATAAGTTTCACATTCTCATACTTTGATAAATGCGGAATATCTACAAAACTCTAATTTAAGGTTATTGCACCGTACCATCAGGACAAAATTATTAACTTTGACCTCATTGACACAATAACAGGAGGACACAAACTTTTAACTACTGTCAAACGTCACTCATGTATGGACGAAATTGATTCACACATTATTTATTCCATTTTTGCCGTTTTTGATGAAATTAGACTAATTAATTAATTAACCTGATAAAATTTGAGAACATTCACACGCGCAACATTGGTTTTATTTTAACTGCATAAAAGCAAATGCATTGACCGAAAGAAACAGGAATAAAAGCTCACTTATGCTGAAATTTAAGATTAACTCTAAAATTTAAGATTACATCTTGGCTTTAATTTTGTTACCTATTTAGCACTTACGCAAAATTTCAGCAAAATCTTCTGTTGAAAGAGTCTAATTTGCATAATGGAATTATCTTCTGAACCATAATATTCCTCGAATTCTCTCACTCTCTATTTATCATTCACCTATTAGCTCACAATACTGGTCCAATTGGCAGCCGCTCACAATTGATCTAAAAGTCATGATGTCCGAAAACTGCTTTTATCCAATTAATCGTGTCAGTTACTTTCTACTGGGATTGTCCTTAATGCCGTTGACCTCCTAATTCCTCACCACATTAATCAATTTCAACCACCCTTTATAGTCGTTTGGTGAACTTGATTAGTCTTAGGTAGGCTGAAAGTTCAAATATTTCCGACAGCATCGCAAGTAATCTAAACAGATGTTTGTCAAATACAAGTGGAAATTGAAATGTTTCGCTTTATTTCCTAATTTAAAGCCAAATGGTGATGGATGGCTTTCAAAAAAAAATTAGTTGAAGGAGACAAGAGGATAATGTTGGTGAGCTATAGTTTAAAAGGAAGATTTCAGAATAGACATGGCAGTGATATGATTCGTTTAGAAAAGCTGTGAATTGCACAATTGTATCTCATTCGCAGAATAGCATTTTGTAATGCGCGATCGTGCGTGCAGAAACCACCGGCCAATCCAAAAATTAGGTATATACGACGTCAAATAACATTTATGACAATAATGGCCAATCGTGTGGGGCAGAATAGAACTATAACCCATAAAAGCACTCCACTTCAATTGCTCTGTGCCCTCGATATTATTGAGGTGTCTTAGCTAATTTCAAATGCAACCTAAACCTAGAGGATTTTGGCATGAAGTTTGCTGAGGTTAAATCAGGACTCACTTGTCACACAAATTTGGTTCGCTAATTATTTAAGCATCTGTCTGAAAATGGTAACAGAAATAAATATATATCAATAAGCCAGGGTGACGACTTTCCCATATTTTTTTGTCCTCAATAACTACACATACAATTACTTCCAATAAAGTAATGGACGATAAGGCAATTCGTATTGAAGGTCAAATCTGTTCTTTCGATTGCTCGTTTAATTCGAAATAACCAAATTGACTTGAGAGTATCGGAACAAAAGTATATTTATTTATATCAAATGGCAGGCGTTATGATATTTTTCATTATCCCTATAGTTGACTTCAGGCTTCACAGAGGAGAAGGAAAATCAAAGTGAAAAAATTCGAGATGGGGGGGAGGGGGTAGGGAAGAGAAGAGTGTTTCAAAGATGTAAAAGAAACAGAAAAGAAGGTAGAAAAACGGTGAGGTGAGTACTGTGGAGGGCGTCGAACATGACATACAGTGGGGCCATAGTAGTTTGAAGTCAGAAGTCAACTGCCGGTTAATAGACCTTTTTGCCGTATGAGTATACGTTGCCCAGGGTGCACCACGTGTAGATACGATTAATTTGCATTTATCTCATTTAATTACAAATTTGCAAATATCACAAACTAATTAATTAAAAATAATTTTGCCTAAAACATCTCGCATTCTTTCAGCCAATAGAAAAAGAACATTTAACGTCCGGAAATGATACACTTTGCACATTAATGAAAGGTTAANTATGCGTTGCCCAGGGTGTACCACGTGGTGGTAAGTCTGTCGCACATCCCGCTCTCTTTAATATAATTATGTTAAATCGCAAACCCTTTGAGGTAAATTGTTCTACCATAGTAGTCGTTAGAGGAAGGCAGAAGCAATACACCTTCATTTGACTCCCGCTGTCTCTATTATGAAAACTACTCAACTAGCAAGTAATCAGTGTCAGAATGTTTGTCAGTAATGTGTTATGGGAGTGTGTAAAGCCTGCCTTCATTATACTAGAGCATGTCCAAGGTGCTTGATTCAATTTTCCCTTTAACGGTTTCAATCGGCTGAAATTAGACTTGTCCCATCTCATCAGTGCACGTTAACTGGAATGTTTTCGACAAGAATTTTTGAGTAAATGGAAGTTCGATTCCAGGGTGCACCACGTGGAGGTAAGTCTATCGCACACCCCAAATTTCTAATTTAAATGGATTTTGAAATCATGTCGAATAGTGCAACGCTTTGTCAATAAAGTCTTACTTTATGGTAATGATAGGATAGTTTTGTATCGTGCTTGGATCGTGCTAATAGTATAAAAACAGGGATATATAGTTAGAACCCTCGGAACCCTCTTTACGGGGAAGCTAATAAACCACTCCAGGAAGCCAAAGGCCTGATATATTTCAAGGCATCTTTCTCCTTTGTTTTCTGCCTTTGACTTTTCTTATGATTGAAGTCCTTTTTTTACGATTATTTTGATGAAGTTGCTTTGGACTGTGCTTATTGTCCTTATCAACTTTTTATTCATTTCTTGTGTCACTTGTGTATTCAGATAACCACCCCAATGTTGTTGAGCCTATCGATGACTGGTCTCACTTTCTGCGGAGCTGATGTGGGAGGCTTCTTCCGTAACCCGTCTGGCGAACTCTACACCCGATGGTATCAAGCTGCAGCCTTCCATCCTTTCATTCGTTCGCATGCCCACATTGATTCGGACTACCGCGAACCATGGAATTTCGATGCTCCATATGTCGATGCGATCAGGTTTGTCTCTGCCTTCTCTCAACACACGTGTGCATTTCTCATGAGAACTAAGATTCGCCCCCCCCCCCGTAAAGGCTTTGCTTCTAGTGAGCTGTCCAGATTCGAGGTTATATCTCTAATCATGTTTTATAAGCCGCCAAGCACGCTGCGACTGGGGAATTGGAAGATAGATGAGGTGACAGTTTCTTCAGCCTGGTACTGAAGCACTTGTTAGTATGTGCATCATTGGGCAGTTATATGGTGATGGTGGTGGTCATTTCGATAAGACGGTCCCTTTTTCTCATCAGTTTATTCCCTATTCTTACCTCTTATTGTAATAGAAAATTTGGACAGTTTTTATTGTGGAAGGTAACTGAGACACGTCAGCGTTGAGTCCGACACATGCTAAAGCGGAGGTGATCGAATGCTACTGAGAGTTAAGTCAAGCTAATAGAAATATAAGATTACTATTTTTTATAAACGAATCACTCCCTTGGCAATTTCAGAGACGCTCTGCGACTGCGTTACTCCCTACTGCCCTACTGGTACACCTTGTTTGCGTTGAGTGAAAGAGATGCATCTCCTCCCATGGCGCCTCTATTTTACCACTTCCCCACCGACGAACGCACATTTGCCATTGATAACGCCTTCATGGTTGGCGATGCTCTTCTAGTTCATCCGGTTGTTCACGTAGGTGCCCAGTCTGTGGATGTCTATCTTCCCAATGGAGTTTGGTATCTCCAAGATGATTGGACGGTTTGTTCTTCTTGTGTTCTTTGCTCTTTACTTGAGCTTGTTATCTCATTCATATCTCTTTAATATAGTCTCATATGATGCTCTCTTTGGCTAAACCACTTCAAGTACGTTATGCAACCGATTGAAGGTGTTGATGCATCTGATATGTTCCGTGCTTCCCCCTCCACCCCGATCCATCCCGATTTGATTACTGTGTGCCTTTCGTCATGCTCAAATAGCTAACAACTCCAGGAATGCTCAATTGCTCTTATCCTCTTTTTCAGGTCTTTTCCGGAAACCAAGAGATAAATGTGCCAGTGGACCTTAAAACGATACCGCTCTTTTATCGTGGGGGTTATATCGTAGCCAGGAAGGGGCGACCACGTCGTTCTTCAGCTATGATGATTTACGATCCATACACTATTGTAATCGCTTTGGACGACGCCGATAAACCAACTGCAACAGGCTACCTCTATATGGACGATTACCATTCAACAGATTTGAGCACTGCTCGTCTTTATCGAATGCAATACGCCTCTTCCACCTTCAAGTTCACGCGTATTGAAGGTACCAACAACCCAGACACGCCACTGATTGAACGAATTGTCATTATGTCCCCGAAAATGACCAAACCATCAAGGGTCTATGCTTTCACTCCTGATGGCATGAAGCGGGATATTGAATTCTCTTTCACAAATTCAAATGGATCTAGATCGGCACTTCTGGTCCTTCGCAAGCCCTTGGTTAAAGCTGAAGATGGTTGGGAATTGCATATTGAATAAGTGTCCATTTCACCGCTACTTTTCACTCTATTACTACTCCTCTTTGAACAAAAAAGTCAATTTTGTGAGTACCAAGTCACTTTTTCGCATATACAGTATAAAAGTTTTTGTGTGTGTATTCTGTCTGGTCTANGAGGTGTCTTAGCTAATTTCAAATGCAACCTAAACCTAGAGGATTTTGGCATGAAGTTTGCTGAGGTTAAATCAGGACTCACTTGTCACACAAATTTGGTTCGCTAATTATTTAAGCATCTGTCTGAAAATGGTAACAGAAATAAATATATATCAATAAGCCAGGGTGACGACTTTCCCATATTTTTTTGTCCTCAATAACTACACATACAATTACTTCCAATAAAGTAATGGACGATAAGGCAATTCGTATTGAAGGTCAAATCTGTTCTTTCGATTGCTCGTTTAATTCGAAATAACCAAATTGACTTGAGAGTATCGGAACAAAAGTATATTTATTTATATCAAATGGCAGGCGTTATGATATTTTTCATTATCCCTATAGTTGACTTCAGGCTTCACAGAGGAGAAGGAAAATCAAAGTGAAAAAATTCGAGATGGGGGGGAGGGGGTAGGGAAGAGAAGAGTGTTTCAAAGATGTAAAAGAAACAGACACGAAGGTAGAAAAACGGTGAGGTGAGTACTGTGGAGGGCGTCGAACATGACATACAGTGGGGCCATAGTAGTTTGAAGTCAGAAGTCAACTGCCGGTTAATAGACCTTTTTGCCGTATGAGTATACGTTGCCCAGGGTGCACCACGTGTAGATACGATTAATTTGCATTTATCTCATTTAATTACAAATTTGCAAATATCACAAACTAATTAATTAAAAATAATTTTGCCTAAAACATCTCGCATTCTTTCAGCCAATAGAAAAAGAACATTTAACGTCCGGAAATGATACACTTTGCACATTAATGAAAGGTTAATAAAATATATTGTCAATTCTTGTGTTAGTTCTTTAATTCCCAAATGAATTTCTCACTTTGATCACTTGGTTCATTTAATGGGCTGTTAGTAATAGTAGGCTTGGATTTCGACAAGAAACTAAGGTAAGTGATATTTGTAAAAATGTTAAAAGAATTGCTTTATGTTTGGATGTTATAGCCTATTAAGCTAAAACTATAGTTTACATATTTTGTATCTGGATGCGCGAAAATAAGCTCTATTTCTCAAGTTTGGTGATCCTCTCATAACGGTGAACTCAGCAGAGTTCTCTAGGTATAAATTTGTCCCAAAAATAAGTCCATTTTAACTCTCGTGTCGGTAACCAAAAAATCATAACGTGAGATGTGTAGTTTATTCATGGAATCTACGGATTGTCAAAATAAAGTGTCCATTTTAATGCTCTTAAGGAATTTGCTATTAAAGCAAAATTTTTGCATAATTCTCATGCAACTCTCCAAATCTCCATATTTGAGAACATTGTGGGTATATATATATATATATATATATATATATATTTGAAATATTCAAATCTCAGCCTTTCTAAAATAAAAGACACCTACCTTTTGCAGAGAATATAAATCGGATTACCNTGTGTGTATATATATATATATATATATATATATATATTTGAAATATTCAAATCTCAGCCTTTCTAAAATAAAAGACACCTACCTTTTGCAGAGAATATAAATCGGATTACCGAAATTCAAAAGAATTGTTGTAATATGTGCGCATTTTAGGCCTATTTCACTAAGATTATTTATTCTTAGTTAGCGAATCAGTGACCCTTTATTCACCTCCTCCAGTTCCCTCCAATATTATTATACGCACCAGTGATTAATCAACTTTATACGCAGTTTCACTCTGTCATTTCCGAAGTTCAGTAGGAAACGCACTTATAAGACTTTGTGTTAGCTAATAACTTATCCTCATTATCGTATTATCTCGACCTAACTAACGCTTTATATGTAGTGGTGACCTGATACTCCAGGTAGGCTCATTATGCGTCCTTAGTAAGCGCTGTCAAAACGGTCAAAACGATTTTCAGGCACTCAGGACAGTTAGCTCACTTTCTAAGATCTCACTTTTCTACTTCATTCACAGGGTTGGACCAAATGCTTGTGATCAACAAAAAAAGCATGAAAACAATAAAACGAAAGTCAAAATATTTAGAGTATTCAAAATTCAGTTGAAGCAATTTATAATAGGATTCTGTTAATTTTAATTTACGAGATATTTCAAATGATAATTCAATTGTAAAATTTATTTTCCTTTCTCTTCGATTTATTTCTTGACTGAAATTTGGGGGATTTTAATAAGCACAATTACTGAGATCACATCTTCCATTTCCCTTCACAGAGAGAAGGAGGAACATCTAAGGGACAAAAAGTCGAGAAGGGGAACAGAATAAAGATTCACAGATTTATAGGAGACAGATAGACACAGTGACAGAGAAAATGTAAGAAATGTACTGCGGAAGGGGTCAAATATGACATACAGTGTGGTCATTGGTAGTTTAAAGCCAGAAGTCAACTGTCGGTTAATTGACTTTTTTGCTGTATGAGTATACGTTGCAAAGGGTGCACCACATGGTTAGTCTACCGCACTCCCCATTGGCTACTAACATAATTTCAGTAGATATTAAATTTTAAATAAACAGTGATGAGTTAAGCAGGTAAAGAAGCGGAAATGTTCGTAATTTTTGTTTTAAAGAAGAAGGGTAAGGAAAATGAAGAAACTTTCGGCTTCTTCAAATATTTTCAATAAAAATTCCTATGAATTTTCAAATTTTTATGCCTATTTCGCATTTGTGCCAATTGGTTTCCATTTATTGTCTGAGAAGTGAGTGTGGGGCACGTCATCGCATGCCTACACGCCAGGATTGGGAGATGCGACCGTACAAACAGTAACCAATCATCAACCTCTGTTTAACCTAATCCGCCATCCTGATCATGAGTAGCTCCCTGCGTGTACACTTTACTTACAATAACCCTACGGAATAGACGTGCTCCGTGCTACACGTCTGTTTCCTTTATAGCTGGGCTATAGCTTAGCTGGTTCTGTGAGTCTAGCTGGATGTAGGAGAATCTGCCACAGAGATTTCTGAGTCAGTCAGGCTTTACTAGCGTAGCAATCCGTTACATGAGGCAAATACTGAAAAGCACTAAAATATAGCATTCGAGCAATCTGGAATTAAGCGGTTATTTTACAAAAAGAACAATGAATGTTGATACTTTTCAAATGACGATAGATTTGACTTAAATATTAGTAATGAAAATAACAATGACATTGGCCTCATATGCTATTGAGGTCATAACCCTATAAATTTACAATGTGAAGGGGTGGGGAGGGGTAAACTTTCATCTAATCAATTTCTGCCATATCGTGAAGTTCATGTAATTGGTCGGTCACTTTGTTTAATTTGTCTAGACTGACCTAATGGTAAAAAAGGTTCATATGTTTACATGGAGACTCCAAATTTACAGTTCTTTCAGAATTGCTGATATATATGCATATATTTAAGGCGAGAAATAGTCTAGACAAAATGATTTCCTAATTTCACACTGTTTTACTTGACCTCATTTTACCTCGATCAAGCCAAACCTTTGCATTACTTTGTCAACCCGAATAACTAAACATTACTTTTGAAAAAAATGAAGCATTGCAGTTTATAAATGCAAACAGATAAATAAATTAACATGCACTCATAATTCTCAAAACACCACCTTTTTACTAATTTATATGGGGAAATTAATCTAAAATGCAAATATTAGCCTAATGAATGAAAGAAACGATCCTCTAACTTAAATTGTGAAAAAAAATGATGTAGACGTTTCTGTTGGGACATTGTTAGGCTACTAGTGACAGCTCTCTTAGCGGTATCTTAGCAGCTGCACTCTGGTATCTTTATGACGATGGAGATAATTAGTGAAACAACATCAGTTGATTGAATGGCGAAAGCTTGTTGAATTATCGTACTCTGTTTGATAAAACCCTAGATATAAGGGTTTACCATATCGAACGTGGAGTAATAGGGATAGGAGACCAATACATTCTTATTGAAATCTGTTTTCCAAGACATTCTGTAAGGAAGAGATTGGTTCTCCGCTAAGCAGATCAAGTCTGGTTAGTATGCAAACGCACCCAAATTTTGCTAAGATACCTTAACAATACAGAGCTAACGGGCGCATCGAACGGAACACTCTTATCTGGGCTGCGTGAATGCCATATGGGCTATTGAATTAGAGTTTAATTATCAAATACTGACTATTGTTTAAATGTTTGGATGAGAGGTTTCTCTCTAGTGACCTCATTTGCACTTTAGCGGGGTCAGAATAACTTTGTTTGTCCTCAGAAACTGCCTTTGCTATTTCATTCATTTGGTAATCAAACTTCCACCGAATTGACTACGTTGAACAAGCAGCTATCATTAATTCACAACCAAGCTTGCATCCAACGCGATTAGCTGTGTGGATCCCGATTCCCAATCTACTAGAGTGCCTATGAGATTTCATGGTTTCAGCCAATGTTAGCATTTTTTTACTTCACAGCGCCTTGAAGAATTCCCAAAAAATACTGCTGTGTTTTCTTGTAAGTACAAGCTACACCACCTTTATGATATCATTTAAACGACTTGGATTCTGCAGTTTTTTGTCAAGAGAATGTAAGTATAGTATTCCTAGAAAGTTCTTTTTGTTAGATCTTATTATAGTCAGATAAGCAAAGTGTCAATAAGTCAAATATAAAAGCGAATAAGTGAGTCCAAACATGGTCAAATGAAGTTGAAAGTAGAATTCTCCAACTAAAAACTTGAACTCCAAAAGCTGTGTGCTTTTAGGACTTCTGTTCAGTGTAATTATTGAAAGTTTCGATCACTGGATAGCTGCTGGAATGAGAGCTCGAAAGTACTTTTGCTCAATGTTACGACAAATCGATAGCGACGTCAAGAAACAGCCTCGGTCCCTGTTTTCAACAACGTAAAGCCACACATAAAGGAGTTTGATCAGAATAGGGAAGCCTGAATATGTGTTGAAAATA